GTTTGAGTGTCTTTCTCAAAAAGCAAAGTGTTGACTGGCAACGGCTTAGCTTTGTGGACAAAGTTCTGGTGGATGCGAGCACACCCGAGACAATTGATATGGGTTTCAAAGGAATCGCTACAGCAAAGAAAATTGGGGACTCCCCACAGGATGCCTTGCGGTGGCTGGCCAGTAACCATAATGAGTGGCTGCTGTTCTTCGACAATGCTGATGATCCAAAAATGAATCTGAACAAGTTTCTCCCAAAGTGCAAACACGGAAACATTGTTGTTACATCCCGCAATCCTGGCCTACGAGTTTATGGAGCATCTTCTCAGGTCACAGATATGGAAGAAGCTGACGCAGTGGTGTTGTTACTCCGAAGTGCTGCTCTGGGGTTGTCAGAGACCAATCAACTTGTGGCAGCTGAGATTGTGAAGGTAAGTTGTCCCCCACCTGTTCAAATATTTTTGTGACATTGTCAAGGTGTTATGTTATCTACCCCTTGCAATTATTCAGGCTGGAGCGTTCATCTCAGAATCTGGAGCTCTTAACACTTATCTGGAACTATACAAGGAAAATCGCACAATACTCCTTAGTGACAAACCAGCCCAGATGCATGATGACTATGCCTGGACAGTATATACAACATGGCAAATGAGTTTCAACAAGCTTAGTCCAGCAGCTGCAAAACTTCTACAGCTATGTTCCTTCCTCCACTGGGATGGGATTTTCGAAGAAATTTTCAGCAGGGCAGCAGCAGTCATATCAAATCCAACTGAGGAGTTCCAAGAGCCAATTGAACTCCTTTCACAGTTTCTGAACCCTACGGGAAAATGGGACTCTCTTCGATTCATCAAAATCATGAATGAGATCAAAGCATATTCTCTAATCAACTTTGATCCAGAGAGCAAAAATTATTCTATCCATCCTCTTGTGCATAGCTGGTGTCAGACACTGGCCACTGATCAAAAGTCATATCATTCTTGTATAAGTGCTCTATTAGCCATGTCTCTTGATGGAATAGCCCAGGAGGATAAGGAGCTTGCGAGTTTGAGACTAGTTTCTCATGTCAACTCATCTATGCTGGTGGGATCAAGGTTTGCTGCGCATTTTGGATCAGTGTATTATTATGCAAGACAGTACCAAGAGGCTGAAAACATTCAGCTTCGTATTGTTGATGAACAGAGAAACCTTTTCGGTGAGGATCATCTGGCTAACTTGTACCGCTGGAAAAGCTAAGAAAACTCCTAGGTGATGACCATGAATCTACTCTTCATGCCATTGAAAATCTTGCAAGAACATACTGGGCTTCGAGCCAGTACAAAACAGCGCAAAATCTGCAAATTCTTGTGCTAGAGAATCGTAGACGTCTTCTGGGGTATGACCATTTGGACACTATCCTTGCTATGCAGTTTCTGGGACGGACATACCGTAGTCTAGGTCAATTTCAGAAGGCAGAAGAGCTTCTAGTTTCTGTTCTTGAGAAACAAAGAATTTTTCTTGGTGATAACCATCTACACACCTTGCACACTATGCATAGTCTTGCAATGACATATAGTGACCTTGACCGACATGAAGAAGCCAGAAAGCTGGAAGTTGAGCTGGTGGAGAAGAGGAGAAAACTCCTTGGTGATGACCATTTACACACCTTATCGGGGATGCATAATCTTGCATGGACATATTATTGTCTTGGTCAGCTAGCAAAATCAGAAGAGCTAGAAGTTGTTGCACTAGAGAAGCGGAGCAAGCTTCTTGGGGACTGCCACAAAGATACGCTGGATTGTATGCATAATCTTGCAATAATATATAATGACCTTGACCGACATGAAGAAGCCAGAAGGCTGCAAGTTGAGGTGGTGGAGAAGAGGAGGGAGCTTCTTGGTGATGACCATTTGACCACCCTATGGGGGATGAATAATCTTGCAGGGACATATTATCACCTAGGTCAGTTAGCAAAAGCAGAAGAGCTACAGGTTGTTGTACTAGAGAAGCGGAGAAAGCTTCTTGGCAACTGCCATAAGGATACACAGTGGGCTGCAGAGAATCTTGCAGAAACCTTCCGGCATCTGGATAAATTCCCTGAGGCAGAAGAGCTTGAGAAATTTATCAAGGACAACCAGAACAAATCTGCAGGCTCTGACAACCAGGTCCCTGAACAACCTTGAAGTGGGAATAGCTGAAAATGCCAACTGAGTGTAAATAGTATATACTGTATCTTTTCTCCCGGTGTATTTATTTATTTGAATGGAACGAGAACATTTGCCTGAATCGGCTTGGCCTGTTTGATGCACATGAGCAAGGAAGGAATGAGTGGAAACAGAGAATCTAGTCTAAAGCAATCTTGCAAACCTGTTTTCCCTCATTACACTGATCAGCCAAACAGTGGTACCCGGGTGCAATAATATTATTGTCTGTGGTCAACTGAACCTAGGCATAAAATATTATCGGAAGCATGGGCCGAGCACTGACACTAGATGTAATATTATTATTTTACTAGTCAGCCGATGCTAAAGTCAGTAGGTATAATAATAATATTATTGTCCTTCAAAAGATAAATCAGCTGAGTCCCGGTCTCCTGGGCTCAAAATATCATTCGGAGTATCTGCCCAACAGTAACGTGTAGGTCAAATAAAATTATTCTTGGTGGTCAGCTAACCCCAAAACTGTGAAAGTGAATAATATTTTGGTCCCCCAGGGGGCTGATGGGCCAAGTCCCATTATGCTGGGCTCAGAATCTCATGGAATCCATCGGCTGAACACAGTGCCCCAGGTGCAACAATATCATTGCTGGTGGTTGGCCCATTCATGGCTTCATGGCTAGGCAAATATTTTGGCACCGGTCGGCCAAGTCCTAGTATGTAGGTGTTGAAATATTAACATACTTGCACCTACCCCATGGTAGTCCCGGGCAGTAGCCCTAGGTCAGAATGGGCCCCATGCTAAAGTCTTGGCCCACGAAATAGTATTGTGATCTTATTATTCCCCGCATGTCTAGGGTTCAGTCAAAGATCTGGCAGAATTCGGAGCCCCCTACACTCTAGGGATTAATCATACGTAGGGCCTAAGCTCTATGCATTAGGGGCTGCAGGCACTGAATTATGATGTAAATGCATATGGTTTGGACTATCAGACAAAAGCACCTTACACCTTTGAAGGTCCAATGCAGGCAGAAACAGCCAAAAATATCTCGGGCTGGTACGGAATCCGGCAAAAAAAGGCACCACGACGAATCCAGAATGAGGATGACAGAATACACATTGCATAGAGGGGAGTCTGATATTTTTGTGGATGGGCTCCAGCCACAAAACCGGATTCCAAGGCTACTTGATGCACGAGAAGTCAGTTTAAACGGAGACAATTTTTGCCGGAATTTACTCCCATTCCACTCAACTTTTGCCCCCAAAAATAGCCTCTTGCATTTGATCCAGAATGAGGATGGCAGAACAAACATTAGAGGGGAGTCTGATATTTTTGTAGATGGGCTCCAGCCACAAAACCGGATTCCAAAATTTCAGCTCACAACACTGCATACACAATCCCAGTACGCACCGAATGACCGCAAAAATCAATGTACGGAAGGACCTAAGCACTGCGTTCCAGGGGGACCTATGCTGAGTCAATAAAGGTGGATGTAGGTGTATGTAGGTCAGCGTAGTCGGCTACAATAGGTCAGCGTAGGTCACCTACGTCCACCTTGACGGCGATCAGTAAAGGTGGATGTAGCTCAGTGTAGGTGTACACAACTCACCTGAACTGGGTATGCTTAGGTCGTTGTAGGTGCCTATGCCCACCTTCATTGACCTCAGGCAAGGACTACAGTGATTTGCCCAACTTAAACATGGCCCCCAGCTCAATGGTAACAGCAAAAATCTCACTGATCTGGTGTCGGTTATATATTTTGGACTTGAAAATTGGGACCATTTGTTGTCGATACTAGTACTGGACTGTTGTTGGAGGTGATAATTAGTCTCAGTATAGGTCACTACGTGGACCTCCATTCACCTACATTCACCTTAGCTGACCCTGCCTGACCTACATTGACCTACACTGACCTACATTGACCTACACAGATTGTACGTAGGTGGGTCTCAGTGTAGGTCCATGTAGGCCCCTAAACTCAGGCTGAGTCTAGGAGGTCCTGGAACGCAGTGAAGATCGGGAATTCTCGATCGGACTTGTCTGAGCATGAGCGACTTCCTTATTGCCAAAAAGCCTGTGGCAAATTTGGTCAGACAAGTTCCCAGTGGCAACATTTCCACCCGGTGGCTCTGTTAAAGAACCGACCTTTCTTCTTGATCATTTTGAGAAATTCAGTGTCGCATTCGCATTACGGAACTGTGAGAATGACGCGTTACCCACCTGACCACGCATGATTGGTTGATCACATATCATGGTGCTGCACACTCTGACCCGGCGACATACGGCCTCGTAGGTGCACAACCCACGCCTCACTGCCAGCGCACCTCGACACTGCTGCCTTTCCAAGCTGTTCCTGTTTTTCACCGAATTTCCTTGCTCTCGAGATCTCCCCCACGGCTTGCACACGCACCTCGTGTGAGTTGATGTCTTTCGACTTTTTTTTTGTCCAAACTTGTGATACACCGTATTTTGAGGGCCACCACTCATATGATAAGCCGTGAAAATAAACGCCAGTGAAAACTCACTTTTTCCCTACTTCCGGCAACTAAACACGTGCATCGAGCCACTAGCAGCAAGTCCTGTCAGGTTTTGTGGCGCCTCAAGGCACACTCATATTTGTTACATCACCTTGTTTAGTTACGGCGCTAGCGCCAAACATCAATTATCAGAGTCTTTTTCCTCCTGCGCCCTTATCTCCCGGCATTGGTACACCAAGTCCCTGCCTTTCCCTGAAAGTCCTGCTGCGTAGCGTTTTAGTTGCAATGTTTAATTGGGAACCAGTGTGAGCTATCACTTTGTGATGTGCTCCCTCTGCAGGTCAAAACAGCAAATAAGTGATTGCGGAGCAGAATAAGGAAAAAGGCTCACACAATTCCACACGGCCTGACTCCGAATCGAACAAAGGTCTCACGAAGAGCCAATGGGGTCACCTATGCAATTCACGCGTGTTAACTGTTACACCACCAGGGCATGCTTTCTCTTGCAATTGAACTCACGAAAGCGTGGACTTACAACAAAAGCTCATGCAAAAAGAAGTAGTTAAATTTTCCAGGGCTGAACCTTGATTTGAACAAGGGTCACGCAGCGAGTAGTTGACAAAATGGTTCAACCAATCTGCAGGTGCTACCAATTGCACCATTCGACCGTGATAGCTGGACACTGCGAAGGACTCAGCAAAAGCAAAATGGCGGAGCCTAGGAAATTGCGGAGCATTCGGAAAGGGCAAAATGGTGCGGTGCTGGTCTAGCAAGCGGACTGAATGCTGAATCGATCGGCGGAGCCATAGTTCAGTAAGAGCAAAGCGGGGAAGGGAAGGCGGAGCGGAATGCGGAATGGATAACCGAAAGGTTGACTAGTTTGCGGAATTGGGCCAGGTGAACCGAATGTGGCAGAGGACAGGCCTCGGACAAAGGAGTTGCGGAAAGCGTATGGGAAAAATCATGAAGGACCAACAGCCCCATTCTTGTGGCAAGGACACATGGAGATTTGCGGAACGAGGCTGGGCAATTGGAATGAGGGACTGCGCATGTGGAATAGGAAACATGTACACGCACGAGTGTCGGGCGGGAATTAGTATAAATAGTAGCGGTCTAGTACTGGAAAAACATCTTATTACCTCCCACTGCTCATACCTAAAGCTACTCCTCCCCAGTACATTGGGGTGGAGACTTAAAAATATAAATACATTCCACTGCGGGTTACGCCGCTCAATAGTGGGACAAACCAAGGTCAACTAGGACCAGGGGTGTCAAGAATACCAGTCCGCACAGTCCTCCCGCTCGATAACTCGAGGCGGAAGGGAATTTTGTCACTCCGGAGTTGAAAGCGCACGGTAGTAGAATATGCGGCACATCACAAAAGGCCAGCAGCCTAACTTAGCTGCGTGCAACCGTTAAATTTGGGATTCAATTGCATATCCTTGCATGCAATACCACCCTATCATTGCGGCACGGTTACTCCGCACAACTATAACCACTTCCCACCTACGAATTCGCACCACTTCACCTTGAGCCAACTTGCGGAATTGACTCCGCAATAAATAGGCATCCACAGCAGAGAAAGAAAGCGGGTTATGAAGGACATTGCTATAACCCGTCCACGCTGTGTTATACAGTTCTGAAGACACCTGCCATCCGCATTATATGAGACGGGTGGAAAAGTATAACCCACATACCTCTTGCATCCCGGCACGGATTAGCCTTCGCATTGCAGAGCAGCACCTTCGCGCAAGTGTAGAAAGCTATCCAACCGCGGCTTGTTCGAAAGGCCAGCTCCCAACAAAGAAATAAATCTTTGAGGAACCTGGCGAATGTTCACTCTTTGTGGAGAGAACTGTAACACAAACCTGTAACTTTGAAAAACCTTACACATACCTTTGCTGCACAAATCTCCGTGACAGAGTAATTTCCTCCTAGAGGACGAATTACAACTTTGTGACCTCTGCCTGACTTTACCCACCTGGGTCAGACAAATCACAGAACCGCAGTCCACATCACATCTGGAGCCCACGACGAGGGGGAAATTCACAGCTGGAGACCCGCGGCAGTTCGGTTTGCGCGTGCAGACCGGGTTCGACCGCCGTCGCCCACCTACGCCCGCTTCCAAAAAGCGCGGCCCTCGCCGTAACCTACAAGGGGAAAAAATCCCCGCAGGAAACCAACCAGAACCTAGCACTTCGAGTCTAGCGACTCCGCATAGTGAAGAGGGGGAAGAATCAGATCAATCCGATCTCACAGAGTTAATTGATACAGAACCCGATTCACCACCAGCGGAGACCACCTCCATATTGGACCCCTCGTCTATTACTCTATCAGACAATCCTCCCACACCTCCGCACATTCTGGAACCCCCTCAAAACCCCATTCCGCAAGCACCGAGACATAGGATGTCAAAACCTTTACTGGCGCGAGGATCGAAGTCCGTACCATCATTCGATGGAAAGGCGGGGCACTTAAAAAGATATTTCCAAGATGTGGAGGATGTAGGAGCAGATTCAGAGAGAAAATGCTAGAAATGAGATAGACGGAGTATATCCAACTAAACCAAAACTAAACACTAGAAACTACCACTCTCTGCACTGGGTGATGAACGGGTTTGTTCGGGGGTGAAAGCCAATTATTAGGCTTGTATAGACCAAATGAGTCGAGTTCTTTCAATGCGCTATGGCTTTGGCTCTACTTCTGATCGAAGGAGCAGGACGGTCTGTTTGGCAAGTCTGATTCAACACAAGTTGGGGTTTTTGCTCGAAAGCGGGTTTTATTGCAAGTAACGGTGGTTTAGACCGGCGTGGGGTTTTTGTCAATGTTCTGGGGTAACAGGTCACACACACACAGGAACGTTCAGTTCAAGTTGTGGAATAGTTCGGTCAAATAGTTCAAGTCCAATCGATTCAAAGAGTTCAAGTCCGTGCGAGTCAGGTTCAAGTCCGTGCGAGTCAGGTTCAAGTCCGTGCGAGTCAGGTTCAAGTCCGTGCAAGTCCAAGTCCGTACGAGTCAATCAAGTCCGTGCGAGTCCAATTCCTTTCAACAAGTCCGTGCGAGTCCAAGTCCGTGCGAGTCAATCAAGTCCGTGCGAGTCCAATTCCGTTCAGGTTCAAATCCAATCCAATCCGATCATTCAAGTTTTGTGTGAAATACAAGTGCGCGTAGCGACTAGCAGTCCAAGAGCACGACTGACTAGAACCAATGGCTTGTAAGGCCACCGTCCCGGGGAGTCTGCTGCCCTCTCTACTCTACTCTACTGTCCTTTTATACATGATTCAGAAATATGTGACTAATAAATATTTGATGTTCATTCGGTAGACTATCCGGTATCAGCGTTTCAGATATTTCGGTTCTTCTTCCGATTGGTTAGCTCGGCTGGCTTCCGTGGTCCAGATGGAGGTTGGTCCGTTTTTGGTGAGTGGGGTGTTTGGTTCTTCCTGACCATGTCTTCTTCATCCTGTTGCTTCCAGCTCTCTCTGGAACGCATTCGCAGACTTGGCTCAGTCAACTAGACGGCCGTCTAGTTCGTAGGTGTTTTGGTATATCCGTGCCAGTAGTGGTACTGGACTTGGTTCAACTTCGCTTCAGATCACTTTCGCCTCTCGGCAATCACAGATCACTTCATCCCAGAATAGTTCGGTAAACTATCCGAGGTGGTCCCCCGTTTGCGCCAAACAGCCCGTTCGGTTGGCTTTCCGAACTGGTACCAAAATAGACCATCGGCTGGCTACCCGAGATAGACCGGTTGGCTATCCGAGATAAGTCCAGGCACCAAGTGCATTTCTCGGTTTGTCAAGTTTCGAAGTCACGTGCTCGGTCGCGTCGCGTCCTTGGTTCAAACTCCTCCAAACAGATGGCTTCTTGCCAACTGGTTTAAGATCATTACTACTCCGTCCCGTATAGTTGGTGAATTTAACTCCTCCTCATAGTAAGTGGTCTGGCTGGCACTTTGGCCTTTCCGAATCTTGTTACATATCCGTCTAGTTCGTGCACTTGATTTTCGGAGACAAATCTAGTAGTGGTACTTCCTGTCCATAGAACCGGTTGCACTTAATCGGGTCATCCTAGCCATCTGGACCATTTAGTCAGACTTGTGTGAGGCCACAATCCGCTCTGGTTGACTTATAGCTTCGGTCTAGTTCACTGTTAAAAATGAAAAGATTTCGTCTTTTCACGCGTAGCAGTTTTCCCGGCTTATCAGCGTTGAGGTACCTCAAGATAGACAAGGAGTAACTTGGGACAAGGAAACAAACTGCCGGAATGACATTCCAGGTGTTCAAAGACACAATTGTAAAGTTGTATCCAGGTGCGGACCAGGATAAACTATACACTTGGACAGACTTCAAGGAGGTTGTGCGGAACGGGCAGTTAAAATCATCTGCGAGCCGCGGCGAGTTCGGGCAATACACTCGAGATTTTCAACGCGTTGTGATGCAGACTGCGGTTCTGTGAACTGCCTGACCCGGGGTGGGTATAGTCAAGTAGTGTTTACAGAATTTAATTTGTCCTCTAGGGGGAAATTGCTCTGTCGCGGAGCTGCGTAGTTAAAGGTACGCTAATGCACGATATATAATTTGTGGTGTGTGTGTGTGCACAGTTCTCTCCGTTTTGGATTGAACACTTTGCCAGGGTCCTCAAAGATTTGGTTCTTTGTTGGGGGCTGGCCTTCCGAGGGTACTGCGGATGGATAGTTTTCTACACTTGCTCGAAGGGTTCGCTCCGCAATGCGAATGCTGTTCCGTTGTGAGCTGTCACTTTGTGATGCGCTCCGAGCACGGCCAAACGGGAGGAAAATCATACTTTCACGATGGCGATTCCGTATCCAAGAATATGACAAGCGATCGCGCCTCCGAATAAAAAGGCCAGACCCCGAATCGAACGGAGACCTTGCGAGGAAACGTTACAGGCTCTCTATTTGTCTTGCATGCGTTGCCATTCCGCCACCTGGCCGTGATTAGGACGAAGAGCTTCGACAAACGGACAAAAGAACGAGACAGACCTTGATTAAAAACACTGGATTAAAAAGGATGGCCAGACTCCGAATCGAACGAAGACCTTGCGAGTAAACGCCGCGGTGTCTGTATTCGTCTCGCATGCGTTACCATTCCACCACCTGGCCGTGATTAGGACGGGGAGCCTCGACAAACGGTCAAAAAGAACGAGACGGACCTGATTTGAATTAAATGAATGACAGACTCCGAATCAAACGGAGACCTACAAGCAAGCATCGAGGAGGAAAATATTGATTCTCGCATGTGCTACCTGGCTGTTCAATGAGCGTTCACTCAAAAACTCGACGCACACTCATTCAAAAACGAAACGGAGGCAAAAGTTTCTCGATGGTGTATCATGGCCAGACTTCGAATCGAACGAAGACCTCGCGAGCATACATTGGTCAACATATACGAAGGGTGCGCGCGCTACCGTTGCGCCATCTGGCCAGTACTAAGGAGAAGGAAACAGGGGAGCAAACGGAGACGGAGTGGTTGCGGTATGGACAACAGAATGATTAAACACAGAACGAAGGGGGTTCTTGGGAAACGGGGTGACTGAAACGGCAAACGGAGCCGACACGAGGCTGCTCCGAGTCAATTTCTAACCCCTTCAGAATCGGGAACGCGTGGGTGATCACAGAGGCGAGTCAGAACTGAAAAGGAGGGAC